AAAAGGACCAGCGAAGCACGTGGTGGGGTGCAGAAAGCTCTTACTTCAAAATATGGTGCTTTGACATGCTGGAATAAAGCAGTAGCCCCAATGTCTCTCTGAACCCTCCACTCCCACCCCTCTGCCCCACCCCCAACCCACCCAGTCTCTCAATCCTCTGTCGATCTCCAAAGTACAGGACGATGCTGGTTCCCTTATCTGCCTAAAGTACACACCCACCAAAGAAGAAAAAACAGACTTTGTCCCAGGCCATCGTATTGTTCTCTAGGCCCACTGTGTACCCCTAAAAATCTTTACTCCTACACCCTTATCTTCCCTCTCCCTATGGAAATGAGTATATAAACTCTTTACCCCAGTGAAAAATTGGGACATTAATCTCTTGTGAGATGATTTGCCTTCTTCTAGCACGTTAAATAATAAAATTTGCTCTGTCTTCTTTTCATATTAATCTAAATTTGTCAGTGATTTTTTTAGTCACAATACAATTTTATAGTACATCTGTTTATATTATGATCATTAATGACTGTGATCAGATATTGAAATTCAATATCTGAATATCATTCAGATAAAAAATAATGATACAATGATGGTTTAAAGCTGGTTAAATCACAATTTTATAAGCTTATTTATTGAATGAAACAGAAGACTATTAAAAGTAGTTAAAAAGGTAACACACATCACAGTATTTAATGTTTCTGTAACTGTTGGTAAGGCTTACTTCTAAATCTGATGCAGAATTCTTAACCGCATTGAAATAGTTCTTTTCTCAGCCACATGGTATTTTGTTCACTGGTGCGATGAGTCTGGAAGAGACTGGTTATAGGTCCCATTTCTTGTCTTCAGCTGTGACTGTGCAGTACCAGCAAGTGCACTCTGTATATTATCCAGAAGCACGTCCCTTCATGAACAGCATCCTCCAGACATGTAGCAGCTTCATGGCGTCCTTCTCCTGGCTTATGTAAGCTAGCAGCCTGTAAGGCAGCTGCATATTCTTCACTGGATAAGAAATGTATCAAAACATCAATGTCTTTTACTGTTCTTGCAATCAGCGCTGCAAAAAGTTGGACATACTCTTCTGTAGGATTCCCTCGCTGGTCTTTGTTAATTGCTGTCTGAATATTATTCAAAGAGGCAGGAGGACCATATTGTTGCAACACTCCAATGGCATTACAAAACTGATCTGCAGGCTTGGGCAGATGAAGAGATGCATAGGGCAAGGCACAGGGGAGGGGATGCGGAGCTTCCATGCCCTCCCCAGGTGCGCCACCCTCCAGAACATCTGTTTATATTATGATCATTAATGACTGTGATCAGATATTGAAATTCAATATCTGAATTTCATTCAGATAAAAAATAATGATACAATGATGGTTTAAAGCTGGTTAAATCACAATTTTATAAGCTTATTTATTGAATGAAATAGAAGACTATTAAAAGTAGCTAAAAAGGTAACACACATCACAGTATTTAATGTTTCTGTAACTGTTGGTAAGGCTTACTTCTAAATCTGATGCAGAATTCTTAACCGCATTGAAATAGTTCTTTTCTCAGCCACATGGTATTTTGTTCACTGGTGCGATGAGTCTGGAAGAGACTGGTTATAGGTCCCATTTCTTGTCTTCAGCTGTGACTGTGCAGTACCAGCAAGTGCACTCTGTATATTATCCAGAAGCATGTCCCTTCATGAACAGCATCCTCCAGACATGTAGCAGCTTCATGGCGTCCTTCTCCTGGCTTATATAAGCTAGCAGCCTGTAAGGCAGCTGTATATTCTTCACTGGATAAGAAATGTATCAAAACATCAATGTCTTTTACTGTTCTTGCAATCAGCGCTGCAAAAAGCTGGACATACTCTTCTGTAGGGTTCCCTGGCTGGTCTTTGTTAATTGCTGTCTGAATATTATTCAAAGAGGCAGGAGGACCACATTGCTGCAACACCCCAAAGGCATTACAGAACTGATCTGCAGGCTTGGGCAGATGAAGAGATGCATAGGGCAAGGCACAGGGGAGGAGATGCGGAGCTTCCATGCCCTCCCCAGGTGCGCCACCCTCCAGAACCTTCCACGTGTTCAGCTATCCGGAAGCTCCCAGTGATTTCTATTCATGAACCTTCAGGTGTAAAGAGGAAGTTTTCCCTTGGGAAACGGTGCAGGCTCTGGGGTAAAGCAGGTGCAGTTGGGAGGAACATTGGTCTTGCCACCATCTGCCATGTGAAGTCTGGTCCTCTCTGGGCGTCCATTCCCTCCTTCATAAATGGGTATCCACAATGCCGGTCTCGTGACAAGCTCTGGTGAATGCGAGTGTTGTGAGAATGGGTGGGTTTAAGGTTATGTCCGTCCTTCCTGGAATGAAACTGAGGGATGCCAGGACTATATCCCCTCTTGGTCTAGGGATACTCGGTGCAGACTCGTTCCCTAGCTGCCTGGGCTGCGCTGGCCCAAAGGACACCATCGCCCTCTTGCGGCCGAGGCCGGACTCAACAGAGGGGCCGTTCCCGCACGTTACTGGCCTTGAGCCTTCCCCCTGGCAGGGAGGAGGGCGACGGTCTGGCCCGCCCGCTCACCCGATGACCTCCGGGGCACTAGCACTTATGGCACCGACGGGCTTTCTGGACAAGTGTTCAGAGAAAGAGCCTTGCTTAGGCGAAAGACGTGCTGTCCTTTTGGAGATGTCTTGAGGAGGCAGTGGGACTCGACTTCCTGACCATAGAGTGTGTGGCTGATGCAAGTCATTCAATCCTCTTTAGAGTCCCTGTGCGTGAAGAATTACCATCCTCGATTCCCCGAGGTTGGAACTCGGGTTGTTGTGAGTGCTGTATCCTTGCAGGCCAAGGGGAGGGAGGGGCGGTGGGAGACGAGCAGAACAGACGAGGGGACGGGAGCCGCACTCGAGCCGCCGGGCACGTGTCTGCCCGCCGCCGACCCCTCGCGCAGTGCCTGGCACACGCACAGCGCTCGACCCGCTGCGGGAGCCAACGCAAGCTCATGACATGCGCACTTGCCTTCCCTGAGGTTTGACCTGCGTTCCTAGACGGTTCCTTATTTTTTCGAACGAAATGCTAGAGCAGATCAGCTCCCTCGAAAGGTCGTGATGAAGAACAGACCCAGTGAGTCGTCGCTGGAGCACCGTTTGGGGGTGCAGGTGATGGCTGAGTCTGAACCAGCACCTGCGGCTGTCCTGTCGGATACTGGGGCTACCCGGAACGATTCTTCTTTCTGTTCGAAGGTGTTCTCTGTCGATCCCATCCCTGATCCTCCTGCGCTCTCTCACACCAAAAAACCAGATTTTAGCTGCTTAGACTTGGACAGAAACTCAACTCAGAGTTGGCCTGTTTCTCAGTGATCCTTAACTCTGGTAAACAATAAATGGGCTGTGAGTACGAGACAGTTTGGGTAAAAAGTCATTAGCCATACAATGGGAGATTATTCCGCAGACGCTCCCTGGCCAATAGTAAACATGGCAACTCAGCTCCTTCCCTCCCTTCAGGTTAACCTAATGGTTGCCAATAGTCAACATGGCCTCCAGACCGTGAGTTCTCATTGGTGGCTGCGCTGAGGCCCCGCCCCTCCGAGCGCCGGCCCGGCGTCGCAGAGCCGATACCGCACCTTCCGGCCGAGCTGCGCCTGCGCAAGTCATTGGCGCCAAGATGGCGATGGAGATGAGGCTTCCGGTTGCTCGCAAGCCTCTTAGCGAGACCTTGGGCCGCGACTCCAAGAAACACCTGGTGGTGCCGGGTGACACGATCACTACGGACACGGGCTTCATGCGGTATGTGGGGGCCTGGGGGACCTGGGGGACCCGGAGCGGCGGGGAGCGGCTGCAGGGCTCTGCACGTGGCCTGCTTGCCCGAAACCTGGGCCTCTTGTTCCCTTGCGTTTAAGTCCCCGCGGGTAGCAGGGAACATTTCTTGAGCATCCCAGTTGCCTCATTTCGCGTCCTCGTGCTTCTTACTCCCTGCATCTTATGTCCCCTTCTGTGTTTGTCTCAGCCCCCTGAAACCTCCTCTTGTGGACTTTTGGGTCCTCTGAAGTCCTTGTCTCTGAGCCTTCCTTGGAGACCTTGAAAACCAGGAGGGATTAGGAGCAGGGGCCTCTTTCCAGTTTTCAGCTGTTTGAGGGAACGGTGGGCTTTCCTGCTTGGTCTCTTTCTCCTTCACTCTCATCTCTGAGCTAGGCGCTCGGTTTTGGAATCAGTAATTGGGCTTAGGGCAAACATGCTATATATTGTGTTACGTGCACCCAGTTATACAAACTTTGAATCTAAGGGCGGTACAGTGTGTTTTGGTTAAAAGGGCAGGCTCTTGAGACAGGGTTCCAGTCCTGATGCTATCACATATTATCATTTAGCGGTATTACCTCTCCAAGTCACTTGCCTCATCTGTAAGATAATGATAACAGTAACTATTTGATAAGTAGTGAGGATTAGATGAGGAAATAATGTGAGAAACGAAGCAAAACCCACCATTATATCACCATCGTAAATAATGAACTCTAGGGGCATTTCCGCCTTTTCTTTTTTGGTACACACAGACATAATACAAGGGGTACAGCATTTACAGCAGTGCCTTTTACCACTGCCCTTTAAACTCCTAGCTTAAGGTTACTGGATCTTACGTTTCATTCCTTCACTCATGCTTTCAGCATATACTTAGTGAGGTTGGGAGTATAAGTGAAAATCTCTGTCCTGGTGAAGTTTATGTTCTAACAGGGAGAGACAGAGAGTAAACAATAAGCACAACAAGCAAATTATTCAGAATGTTTGGTGATAAGTGCAAGGAGAAAAAAGTGGAGCAGAGTAAGTGGAATGTGGTTGGGAATACGGGGGTGGGGGTGGCAGCTGTGGGGTAGGATACTGTTTTACATGAGATAGTCCAGGTAGGCCTGCTGGAGAAAGTGATATCTGAGTAGATTTGAGTATGCCGAGGGAGATGTCTGTGTAGCTCTCTGGAGAAGGGGTGTTCCAGGCAGAGAGCAGGCAGCACAAAAGCCAGGCTTTAGGGGAGGAAGAGCCTGTTAGGTCTGAGGAACACATCCTTCCTGAGGGGAGAGGTCACCTCAGCTGTTACACTGGTACTCTTTCTTTGTATCCTCTTCTTGCAACAGAGGTCATGGAACGTATATGGGGGAAGAGAAGCTCATTGCCTCTGTGGCTGGCTCTGTGGAGAGAGTAAACAAGTTGATCTGTGTGAAAGCTTTGAAAACCAGGTGAGAACAAAAGGTGTGTATTCTCTTTCTTATGGCATCCATGTTGTTCAACCAGGTCTTTTCTGCCACCCCATCCCAACCCCTGCCTACCCTATCATGCTGTAGGTCTGTGATTTTAAACATGACTATAGGAAGGGTGGTATAGATCAGTGCAGGCTTCAAAGGTTTCCCCATGTTACCTGACCTCTCCAACCAAGCCTTGGTTACCTCCTCTGCAAAGTGAGGATAATAGCATGACCTGCCTCATGGGATTTTCGTTAGAATTTAATGTGATGGTGCATGTAAAGTAATTGGAACAGGGCCCAGTACCTAGAAGCATTCAGTAAAGGTTACCCCAGAAAGGAAGCCAGTGTGGTTGGAACAGAGCAAGTGAGGGGGAGAACAGGAGCAGACACAGGTAGAGAGCTGAGATGGGTGAACAGTTGGCCTGCCTTCTAGCCGTGGAAGCATTTTGGCTTCCACTTTGTGTAATCTGGGAAGCTATTGGAAGGGGCGCGGAGCAGAGGAGGGACATGATCTGCCTTACGTTTTGATAAAATCACTCTGGATGTTGCGGGGAGATTGAATGGCGGCCAGGGGCAGGCTTATGGAGATGGATGAGGGGACAATATTTCATCACCTGAAGTGGTGATAGCTTGCACTAAGGTGGCAGCAGTGGCAGTGGGGAGTAGTGATTAGATTCTGTGTGTATTTTGTTTTCTGAGTGTTTTTATCATGAAAGGGTGTTGGATTTTGTATTCTTTGGGAATTTCTATATATAAGGCCATGTTGTCTGCAAATAGAGATACTTTTACTTCTTCCTTTCCAATTTGGATGCCTTTTATATCCTGCATATATTTAAGGGCAGAGCCAGCAGGATTTGCTGCTGGTCTTGTCTTGAAGCATTACTCTCCAAGATTTTTTGCCTGAGCAAATGAGGGGATGGAGTCACCATTTATTGAGATGGGGATGACTGGGAGAGGCACAGTCTGCTACCGAGGAGGGAAGGGGGCTGCTGGAAAGCTTAGTTTTTAGGCTTGCTATATTTGACAGTGCCTGTTAATCATCTAAATGGTGATGTTGGGTAGCTAGCAGTTGAATAGAATCTGGAATTCAGAGGAATAATGCAATTATCAGTGGTATTTTAAAGCCATTAGATTGGATGAGCTCACCAAGAGGTGAGTGTGAGTGGAATAGAGAAGAGGTCTAGTGACTGAGCCTTCAGCATCGAGCACTTCATTAGAAATGGGGAGGAGGACCTAGCAAAGGGGACTGAGATGAGCAGGCAGTGGGTGAGGAGACAGCAAGTAGACTGGTTTGGCTGGTGTTCTGTCTCGAAATCGCCTTTCTCCTTTAGTTGGTGCAGAACTCATGCTTTTCATTGTCACGTAACCTAACAAAATAAGGGCTTTAGGCTAAACAACTTGCAGTAAGTGATTTATTTAAGGATAGTTAATGGAGACTTTATGCATGTAGGAATGTTTGAAGATATCAATTCCTGAAAATAAGTCCAAACAGCATAGTTATATGCATTTGCTAAATGTGCCTAATCAGGGCCATCATCCTGTTTAACCAAAATCTCAAATGGTGCTTGGTCTTGTAAGAGAATCTATTCACTGATAGATGACCTTTTGTTTTATCTTCCAGATATAATGGTGAAGTAGGAGACATTGTAGTGGGGAGAATCACAGAGGTAAAGTCCATGTTAGATCAGTTTTTACAAAGTAAAGGCAGGCTGGTGATTTAATGAGTGAGACAGTCATTCTGTGTGTAGTTATGTGAAAAAAGCATTCATTACTTTTGGCTATTATGTGACCTCTGATGTAAATATTTGGCTTGTTATATTTGGGAATACTGGTCACTAATGATATGAGCTCTTGCCCTGCAAGCATGTGTCCGTCCAGGTGTGGAACTTCTTTTTTTGTAGGTTCAACAGAAGAGGTGGAAGGTGGAGACCAACTCCAGGCTGGATTCAGTCTTGCTTCTCTCGTCCATGAACCTTCCTGGAGGAGAGCTGGTAAGGGTCTCCATCTGGGTCCTGCGACTGTACATTGGGCTGCGAGAGCTGTGGGGCCCTTTGCTCCACCTGAGAACTTTGCTTTACAAGGAGGTTGCCCCTTTTACTCCTAAGAGGATTGCTGTGAAGTTTGCTACCTGAAGTTTGGGTGTATGAAGGCTGTTAAGTTGGCCCAGGTCTGCCAGCATAGGCAGCAATTTGTGTGTGGTAAGATCTGAAACATCCATGAAGTGGAATCCCAAAAGAGAGTTGGGGAGAGAAGCTTTTATATGTTTGGTGCTAGTAATTTTCCTTTTTTGGTGTATCAGCTTTGCACGGGGAAGGTGTTCCTTGAAAAGCTGTCTTTAGACTAGTTTTTCGTGAATTGAATGGCATTCAGTTATAACTAAGCTGTAGCCTTTTGTAAAATGTCACGGCTCACCTTTATCTTTAGTCCAGCACATATTTAGAGTCTTACTGTGCTGGGTTCTGTGGAGAATGCCAAGCACGATTGAGTTCCTTAAAGAGCTTATAGACTAGCAGGGGATATGAGATAACTGATCCAAGTTCCTGGCAGGAGAAGAATAAACAAGCAGTGCTTGTACAAAAGGAGTGATTAATTTCAGTGGGAGAAGCTCATGGGAAAGGCTGGCACTGGAGCTAATCCTTGGAGGAAGGAGAGAATGTAAATGAGTGCAGGGAGTTCGAGAAAAATGTAAATGTGTGCGCAGAGACACAGCCACGCGGGAGGCCGGGAGGCCGTCGGGCTGCTAGAGCATGGAGAGCAGTCATGGGAATGTAAATGAGTGCAGGGAGTTCGAGAAAAATGTAAATGTGTGCGCAGAGACACAGCCACACGGGAGGCTGGGGGGCCGTCGGGCTGCTAGAGCATGGAGAGCAGTCATGGAGGTGAGTTTGGAAAAGTAGGCTGGTCGACATGGAGAGGGTTTTAAATATCAGGTAAGATAGTGTTACTCAGAGGAGGGAGGGAGAGCGGAAAGAGAAGAGGAGCTGCGGAAAGTTCTGTCCAGAGGTTAAGTTGTGAGTATCACTCTTGTTCCCCTCGAGTGGCTCAGGTTACTTACTCTTCCATAATTTTTAGTGTCTGAATATCGTGGTTGGCTTCAAAGATCGCAGGAGAAAGTGAAAGAGAAAATAGTGATGGGGTGAGATCTTTCTGAGATCTGGCTTAAGTAATGCGGTCATTTCTTTGTGTATTTCAGAGGAGAAGATCTGCAGAAGATGAGCTTGCAATGAGAGGTTTCTTGCAGGAAGGGGATCTTATCAGTGTATCCTGTACCTTATATTCTAGCATTTTGATTCTTTTGTATGGGGCTTACATCGTATGTCTCTGACTGGAGAAACATGTAGTCCTTGCCGTGATCTGAGCCCTGGACCAAGTGTCAAGGGCTCTGCTGCAGCCTTTCTCTGTCTCCTTAACTCAGGCTGACTCCCCAGTTCTCGTTCAGACCTGCTACTGAGTTATTTCTTTGCATCTTGTAACTTATGGTGGCCTGTGCTTAGGCTAGACTTAAGTTTTCTTAGTGATGTTAACTTTTATGCCAGGGAGTAGAAAAGGTGTTGTTCATATTCATGACAAGCAAGGGGAGAGGTGAGGTCACAGTGATGTCCTCTGAGTCTGTCTAAGACCATGTTGGGGATGGGAGGAAAAGATGGAAGCATGGGGCCAAGGGGGCAGGGGAGGCAGGTGACACAGAAGTGGGCAGCCGAGGCTGCTGTTTGTTCCTTCATCATCCTGGCCAGGCTGAGGTCCAGGCAGTGTTCTCTGACGGAGCTGTCTCTCTGCACACGAGGAGCCTGAAATATGGAAAAGTAAGTTGGGCTCTTGCTGTTCTTGTTTGCTCACTGAGACTTCAAAGTCCATTTCTGAATCACGATAACTCTCTAGAATTCTGACCTAAAGAACCCCTTTAAGTTAAGCACTGAAGCCTGGTGTCCCACAAACTGATCATGCTCCCTGAGCTTAGCAGAAGGAAGGTCCAGATTCACACAGTTGTGGGTCAGTGGCATTGTAAAGGAGGACAACTTTTATCCTTTCTTTTTTATTTTTACTTTTTTTGGCATTTGCCCAGTACAGGGATCAAACCCTGGATCTTGGTGTTATCAGCACGACGCTCTAACTAACTGAGCTAAGTGGCCCGTCCCACTTTTATCCTTTTTCTCCTGAGGAGACTGTTAAGGCAGAAGAGCACCTCTGACCCAGGGCTGTGAGGCGCTGCTGTCTCTGCTGCCTCCAGGGGGCACTGCAGCTCCGCACTGGGGCCGGGCCAGAGAGGCTTCCTTGGAACAAAGGGAGGCCTGGGCCTGATGAAACATGCCATAGACAGGCATCCCGTCAGTGAGATGGCTATTATTGCTAGCAAAGATTGGTCGGTCACCTGAGCCTCTAAATAAAATTTCACTGCTTTTCTTGTATGAGGTTACATTATTGAGGCTGTTTATTTTTTTAAGGACAGCATACTTCAGACAACAAATTGTGATTTATTAGTCTCTTGGCTTTATCTGGGTGAACCTATTCATTTTCTTTTTTTTTTGTCCTTTTTGAGACTGGCTGCACCGTGCTTAGCCAGTGAGCGCTGTGAGCGCCCTGGCCATCCCTATATAGGATCCGAACCCGCGGCAAGAGTGCCGCCGCGCTTCCAGCGCCACACTCTCCCAAGTGCGCCACGGGCTCAGCCCTAACCTATTCATTTTCTGAGTGGAAAAAAACCTCTTCCCTCAGCGGAGTGGCTGCAGCCAACCACATTCATGTACTGAGAGTACTTGAAGTTGGGAGCTGAACACTAGGTGCTGACCTTTACAGGCCTGGTCCCAAGACCCTCCCTCAGCAGCATGTGGACTTGGAGCTGGCAGCATAAGTGTTTGGCATTAAAGTGCGAGCTAGGGTCATGGAACAGGGCAGCACTCCTTGGCCAACAGGAGGCTCAAGTTCACGTCCTCATTGGCTCCAGCTTCTCTAACAGACAGCACACTAGCCCTGGCTTAGAATGTAATGATGATTGCAAAGGGAAATGACAGAGAAGAGTATTGAAAGTCACCTGTTGGGCTGTATAAACAGCCTACGAATCCAGAAGTGTTCTCTGCAAAAATGCATACTATGTATGTGCATATAGGTGACAGCAATTATTAATAGGAAGAACACCGATTTGAATATAACTAGGATGTGTGTGTTCTGTAGTCTACTTTCCGTTCACCTCACTGGTGATCCTAGAGTGACCTACCTTATGATTATTTCTTTAGCTAGGTCAGGGTGTTCTGGTCCAAGTCTCTCCCTCCCTGGTGAAACGGCAAAAGACTCACTTCCATGACCTGCCATGTGGTGCCTCTGTCATTCTGGGTAACAATGGCTTTATCTGGATCTACCCAACGCCTGAGCATAAAGAAGAGGATGCAGGGGGCTTCACTGCAAACCTGGAGGTGAGTGCACACCATTACTGCTGTTGGTGGATGGAGCAGCATTTGGTTTCCACTGTATTTTTGTGGCAGGTGGAGTTCATTGTTTTTTAACTATGTTATCACTGTAGACAGAGTTAGTTTGAATTTCTATTGAGGTGTGTTCATGAACATTGTATTGCCTTCTCTTCCCGGAAGAAATGAACTCAGTGACTGGTACAGCCTTTGTTGGCAAAGATGGCAGAGTTGCAGAGTAATAGCCAAAGAGCCACTGAAAAAAGGCACCCTTTTTAATTTCCCTTGGAATTTGCTGTTTGATTGGTTTGGAGTCCCAGAGTGATCCTCTCTGAGTCACAAATGATTTCTTTTCTGTGATTTATTGTGACTTTTCACTTATTCTCCTCCTGTTTATATTTCCCTTCCCTTCCCTTCCCCTTTGCATGCCCTTGTAGCCTGTCTCCCTTGCTGATCGGGAGGTGATATCCCGGCTTCGGAACTGCATTGTCTCTCTAGTAACTCAGAGGATGATGCTGTATGATACCAGCATCCTGTACTGCTACGAAGCATCCCTTCCACATCAGGTACTCTACCCAGGACTTCCCTTTTCCTACTGATCTGTGACCTGCTCCGTGTTCATTCAGTTTCAGCAATCACATCTCCCAAGTACTTTTTTGCATGTCTATCAGTATGAACTGGCCTGGGGGATAGCCTTAATAAGTTTCTGGTATCTTTCCCCAAGATACTTCCCATGTTCTCAATGTCTAGTGCCAGCCTAAGGACTTGGTGGGGGTGGAGGTGCCAGGTGGGACTAGTTTATGACAGCAACCCTTTGGACTTCATCTGGTTCATCCCAAATCTCAGCCATCTTTTTAATGAGCGTTGGGATATCTTTGCTCTTGTTAGCTGTATCTCGTTAGCTGATATTATTAAGGTGGTTCTAGCATATCATATCTTGTAGCATTTAGTCTCTGATACATGAAAGGACTACAGAAAGTTTATATTACCATGTTTGGTTGCTGTGTTTGTATTGGCTTGGTGGTCTGCTTATAATTGGTTTCTTTTCTGAACAAATTTTTTCTTTCTTTTTCAGATCAAAGACATCTTAAAGCCAGAAATAATGGAGGAAATTGTGATGGAAACACGCCAGAGGCTTTTAGAACAGGAGGGATAGGAGTAGCTCCTGAAGGACAGGACTGTGTATATGTTGCTGGACTGGTTCTTGAAACTGAAGAATCTGATGTGTGGTCCCTACGTGCGACTCAGTGAAGACCTGAAAAACTCATCACTTGATCTGTGTTGACAGCCATGTAGACACGGCCTCCGGCCTACAGACCTGCTTTCTCCTGTTCTAAGACAAAGCCTGGGTGGAAGGTGAACAGTGCCTCTGGCCCCTCAGGTTGCTGGCTGAATCCCAGCACTAGGGGCTGGTTTCAGGTCTTTCAAAGTGCAGTGTCCCAACCGCCAGCCAAATGGGCTCATCCTGGAGTAATATGGAGAATCCTTTGTCTTACATGCCCCGTCATTCACAGGGCACGGTACCCTGTGCAGTTGCCCCAGTGGGAAGCATGGCATCCCTGACCCCCAAACAGTCTGCTTTCGGCTGCACTCCACCCCCTTTAAAGCTCAAGTATGACACTGAAGAATACAGTTGGTAAGGTTAGCCCCGCAACCAAATGGAAGAGTAAAGTTAACCAAGCGGCCTTTTGCTGGGTTGGAATCTTATTCCCATTGTGTGTCCCATGTGTGTCCACACCAGGATGCCTTGATCTGTCCTGCTTGTTTGGACGACTTGTAAGAAGCTGAATTATTATCGATATAGAATGAATGTTCTGCATCCATGTACTTTTTGGTTCTCTGATAAACACAAAAACAACAGTGGAAAATGGAGATGGGAAAAGCAAAGCTATTTCCTCCTATAATTGAAGCAGTAATGTGTTAACCTTTTGATAATTCAGGGTTAAAGGATAAAAAACAAGGGCCAGCCCCGTGGCTCACTCGGGAGAGTGCGGCGCCGGGAGCGCTGAAGCCGCGGGTTCGGATCCTATATAGGGACGGCCGGTGCGCTCACTGGCTGAGTGTGGTGCGGACCACACCGTGCCGAGGGTTGCGATCCCCTTACCAGTCAGGGAAAAAAAAAAAGACAAAATGTTGAAATTCTCATGGAGGAATGTTAGAATTCCTATGCTTTGTTGTTTTTCCTATGACTATAAAAATGGTGCCCTGATTTAGGTTTTGGGAAACATTTTTAAAGGCACTATATGCAAGTGCTGTTTTACTTTACATATGGGGTGAACTATTTTTTGCTACCTATAAATGTGTTATCATTGGTTCTGTTCTGAGTTCTGCATAATACTTAGGGGCTGAGGACAGTTGAAGGAGGGCTCAACAGATATAAATGCCTCTACAGAGGCCCTAACTACTCTGTGTGCATCACGTAGTAAATTTAAACCTGGGATAGTTTCAGCTTTGAATATTGCATTTGATGGTTTTGAAATATAGTTTGGCTCTTTTTCATTAAGCGGTAAGTTTCTTTAACATTCAATGGACAACTTTATATCTTTTCTTTTCTATTACAAGTTGTTTCACCTATTTTGAGGAGTTTGTAGACAACTGAATAGTCTATAGGCTATGTTACAACTTTAGATTGGCTCACCTGTCATTTTTTTTAGAAAATTGCCCAGGCTGTATGCCTCTTGAGAGAAGGGAGTGGGAAACAGTGGGAGTCTGAGTCCCGGGTTTGGTTTTGAGCCATACGCAAGCTTATTTATCCTCTTCACTTGGTGTCTCCCAAAGCTGCCAGCCTACGCTGTTCACCCAGTATCTGCCGAATGGTAATTACCAGCTACTGGAAATAATGTAAAGGTCTGAAAGTACCTTTTGGTGATTGTCTACAGTCCGTGGTCCACTAGAGGGCGCCCTTGTTAGGTTTAATTCTAGCTGGTATTAAAAAAGGAATAAGCTGAACTTTTTACACTGGTCCTGAATCCCTTTAGCAACTTGGTGGGTTGCTTTGCTTTATAAAAGTGAGGACAAAATTAGATTGAACGGAATCACTTTTAATGAAAATACATGAGCTTAAAGGGATTTATTCAACATTTGGCAACATTTACTTCTGACAGGCATTTGCTAGGCTCTGGATTCTAGTTTTAAGTCCTTAAAAGTATTCTATGGTGTTATACAGGGATTTAAAAAGTACGGTGCAACTCTAGAAGGAAATATTACAGTCTGGGCTTGGGGCTCACCTAAGACTAGAAAACAGTGGATGTGGAAAATGGAGATTAGGGATAAGCCTCTAAAGATCAAGGGCGGTTGACTCTATAGTGGCTGCCAAGCAGCAGTCTCAATCTTTGTGGAAAACCAAACCATCTAGTTTGATCCTCGTGATAGCCTTGGAAAGTAAGCAGTTATGACCCCCCACTTATAGGGGAAGAAATCAATTCAGAGAATTAATGTGACTTGATTAGGCCCATTAGCAACTGTGAATCAGGAACAGATTTAAGCTCTAGAGAGGTGTCATAAAGCAATCCTTTAGAGGTTGGGTTGGACTGATTGTGAAAGGTTATGGTCCAGAAAATTAATTTCCAGTATTGAGACTGATCTTTTTGGATTGTTACTTATTTTGCTTATTGCCTGTCCCTCCATGTGTGCGCCATGAGAATAAGGATAACTTTATTTTTTCCCCACTGCTGTATCCCAGCACGTAGAACAGTGCTTATCTCACAGGTGCTCAATAAATGCTTGTTAAATGAATTGTTCAAGAAATTTGTATTAGAGTTCTGATTTGATTATCAAGTTCTAAGCTAACTAGAGAATGACAAAGATGTGGAGGAAACTATTAAAGTGAATAGGAATTAAGAGAAAGCAAAATCTCCAAGAAAAAAAATTAGGGTAGAAATCAGGATAAGATAATGGGTAAATAATCAAAAGGAACAAGGGCACTGAAATTTGAAGAATGACACTGTGGATCAGGACCAAGTTTTTTAGCCAGATTATTTTGTGAGACTGAACAACACTAAGCCAATAAACACCTGAATTTATAAATTCCAGTTCTAAATCTGGGCACAAATTTCCATATGTTTTACATTCAATACCTTCAAGTGACTATTTCCTCTTGAAGCCAATGTCGAAAATAAGTGCCATTTCTCAGTGCAGCAGGAATATTTCTAAAATACTTAATAGTTAAAGGTACAACACTTATAATGCAGCTATGGTTCCTCCTGATATCAGTAGCAACTTCTGAAAAGTCAGTTGTTTAACAGTAGTTGGTCAACGGTTACTTGGTACTGAATAGTACAGTGGAAAAGCCATGGGTTTTGGAGCAAAGTCGATCTGGACAGAAATCGTATTTTCTTACATGCTAGCCAAGTGACCTTGGGTCAGTCACTTCTCTAGAATCTGTTTCCCCATCTGTATAATGGGGAATAATATTACATGCCTCAACGGGCTACAGGGAAGATTAAATGAGATTCTGCAATTTCAGAAAAGTACGAACAGTGCTGGGTGTAAAGTAGGTGCTGGGATGATTGGATCTCTTTATAAGTGGGCATGTCTCGGTCAGGTGCACTGCTCTGGGGAGATGTGGAGAGTGAACAGGACACCAGGGTGCTTTATAGTTGCAGGGTCATGACAGGTTCGGCGTGTCTGGGTCATTGGCTAGCTCTGAAGGCCTGCTAAACCCCCAAATCTGGTCACTTTCTTGGCTAACAGGATTTTTTTTTTTTATGTGAATTCGTGCTCACCTGTGAAGGTTCATTCTAGCACAAACATCTATGATTGCGCCTGGCATACCCTCCGAACAAAAAAGCTGTTTCTTTAATGGGTAAACCTCTTGATACCTCCAAACAAACAATTGAATTCGTTAGCAATATGTCGGATGCTTCTAGTTGTAATATTTATGCTTTGGGGAAATGAAAGGGGTAAAAGTCACCAAATACCTGAGTTTCCAGGAGCGAGCCAAATTTTCTCCCCTAAAGAGGCTCAAGGAAGTAATCCACCTACGGTTCTGGGAAAGTCCAATCTGCAGTTTTCCCCTTGCTTTGGCTCTTCGCTGTTCTTTCTACTCGCGCCGGGGAGACGTGGCCCGCCCGACTCGAGGCCGGCGAGAGCCCACCATCTCCGGGGAGGGTGGGACCGAGGTCGGAGTCGGGAGCAGAGGGCAAGCAGTCCTGGCGCGGGCGGAAGGAAGGGTGCCGCGGGACCACAACTCCCGGCACGCCCCGCGGGCTGCGCCGAAAGCGGTTGGATGGGAGCTCGGGCCCTCCTGCCCTCACCGGCCAATGGGACGAAGAAGAGAGGCCTGACCCGGATTCTCGGGGTCCAATGGCAGTACAGAGGAGGCGGGTGCTTCCTTACCGCTCACCTGGCGCTCCGAAAAGCCCCATTTTAAAGCTCTTGCCGGGCTGGACTCTCGCAGGCAGTGAGACCAGAACCGGAAGTTGCGGCGGCGTCCCGAGAGAGCAGCGCAGGGAGCATCCCGGTCCCCACGAGGCGGGCTCCGGAGCCGCCGGGGGCGGGGCTGGGGGCGGGGCCTGTCCTCGTTGTGGAGCGGCTCGTAATCCATCATGGCGGCCGCGGGGGTCGGTGTCTGTTCCTGAGCAGCGCTGGATCCGGAGCCGGTTCCCGGGTCCTGCGGCTGAGGAGCCCCTTCGTTGTCCCCGGCCCCTAACGGCAGGGGGAGGCTGGGTCCCTCGGCGGAGCTCGGCAGCGCTCGGCAGCTCGGGGAATGTGACTGCCTGGCGGCGGCGGCGGCGGCGGCGGCGGCGGCGACGACGGTGGCATCGTCCGGGGCCGGGGGAGGGGGTGTCTCCGGCAGAGGTCCCCTGGCTCGGGGCAGCTGAGGCGGCGGGGCCTCCTCCCCCCTGCGCCCGCCGCCCGCCTTCGGGGCCGCGAGAGTCCGTCGTCCTTTGCAGCCCCGCTCCGGCGCTGGGTCACTGGGGTGGTCTCTCTCCCCCAGACCTGGGACACCCCGTTTCTGAGGCGTGGAGCAGCGTCGCCCACGAGTAAGCCGCCTGTGCCCCGCCCCGGCAGCCTGCCTCTTCCCCCCGAGCCGCCTCTTGCTCCGGGTCCCGGCCCCACGTTTGGCCACGGATTCCCCCTTCCCCCCATTCAAACCCCCTCCCTGCTGTCAAGTGACCTCCCCTTCCCCCCAGGTTGCTCCCGCGAGCTTCCAATGCTCTGACTTCTTCCAATGTCACCTACGGCCCCCTTGGTCTCAGTCCAGCCACAAACTTTAATGCAAAGGAAAAGTCTGGGTTGGTTTCACAGGCCTTTTAAAAAGCGGACTTAAAAGTTGCTGGCAATGCATCCCTTCTCGTCAGAGTCGAGGGCGAGCTGTCGCTGAAATCTGGGTGACCCGTGTCCTTTTCCGGAGGGCAAGGTAGAGAAGCAGAGCGGCAGCTAGCTCGACAGGAAATGTGTTGGAAGATGAAGAAACTGAGATAGGGGGTTGGTGACTTCCACAGGAAAAGTTCTGGAGGAGCATGCAGAGACGATCAACGTTTATTTTATGTGTGGGAATCGAAATGACTTTAGTATCATTGACATTTTCAGCATCCCCTGTGAATATTTCTGCCTAGGTTTTTCCTCTTGAAAAGAGATGGCTATTCAGCCAGTAAAATATACTTAAAATCGAGAAACTTTTGGGTAGCATTGCAATTACGTTACTTCAGGCTGATAAACTGCAAAAATAATACAAACTTCTGTTTACATGTATGAACTTAAAAACTGCTTCCTTTTGTTATGGAAGATGGCTTTCTGTGATTGACCTCAGTTACTGACTTGTGAAGATGCAGTGAATGTGAAATCCCACTTATATACCATTTTCCT